TAAATAATGGAAGAGAGGTTGATGGCTGGAAGCTGCTGAGGAGCACCTGGGTCAAGAGGTTGTTTCAGGAGCATTTGACAGCTGACAGCTACCATGTAGTATGTCTGCAGGGAAGCAGGGGCCCCTCCGTAAATAAGCCTGGGGTCAACAATAAGACCTGAAATGACAGCCAGTGAGACTGTCCCAGACCCCACAAGTCAAGGAAGACTGGCAGGACCACAGAGGACACCTCAAGTGGCAGGAGACTGTCACAGGTTCCTGTATCAGAGTCAAGCCTCATACTGCACCTCAAAAAAAAAAAAAAAAAAAAGGGAAAAAAAAAAAAAAAAAAAAAACACTTCCAGAATATCCTTCCAAATTCAGTTAGCAAGTCTTGATAGTTATTGAAGGTAAGTAACAGGGGTGTTTGTGCAGTCATCAAACCATTCTCTTGTGTATTTCAAACTTTTTGAAAATTTCCAATTTTTAAAAAAACTTAGATAATCTATAGGCCGGGTGCTGTGACTCAAGCCTGTAATCCCAGCACTTTGGGAGGCTGAGGCAGGTGGATCGCCTGAGGTCAGGAGTTCGAGACCAGCCTGGCCAACATGGTGAAAGCCCATCTCTATTAGAAATACAAACGTGAGTTGGGCATGGTGGTGGGCGCCTGTAACCCCAGCTACTCTGGAGGCTGAGGCAGGAGAATCACTTGAACCTGGGGGGCAGAGGTTGCAGTGAGCCAAGATCGTGTCATTTTACTCCAGCCTGGGTGACAGAGCAAGACTCTGTCTCAAAAAATAATAATAATAAAATAAATTAAAAAGCTATGTTACCCATAAATCAAGAAGCAACCCATATGTGCCTGTAAACTTTCTTAGTTGAAGAAAGGGAGTGTGGGTGTGGATTTCTTCACAAAGAAGCAGCACTCAGAAACAGCTGCCTGCAGGCCACAGTCAGCAACATTGTGTTGAAACTGATTAAAAGGGAAACATTTCTCTTGCTCTTCATACAGCTTTGAAGTCAACATGGAGGCTTTTTCCTGGGAGAAAATGCAGGCTGATTGACAGCATTTCAGTGAATGACGCCAAACCCCTGTGCCCCAGGATGGAGTCTAACCACACGTCCCCCCCCAGGGTATCTCATTCTGCATTTGTCATCATCTTCAAGGTCACACTGTCCCCAAAACACTCCAGCAAGATGTCTCCCAAAATGTGTCTCATGTCATCTAAGTTATGAGATGATTAGCAAAAAGGGTTTTGAGGTTAAAAAATATGTAAGCAAACTCCACGCCTACTCTGTCCTGGACGGCAGGAAGGCTTGTGATGAAGACACTGTTTCGGGACACAACTGTTGGCTGTTTTGGGAGAGGCATCTGTTGACTCCGAAAATGTCCCACAGAACATTCTTTGGTGAATGTTAGGAGCTGGGGAGGCCCAGGCAGGGAAGCAGAAACCCAAGAAGGCCAAACAGCTGAGTTGGTTTAGGAATCAGGGCGGCGGCGCCACACCCCTGGCTTAGTCCTCCCGGGCGGGCTGGCAGCCTGGGCTCCACACACCCTGACCCAGCAGAGTGGGTCTGGACACACAGGGAGAGCGCAGGGCTCAGGGGCACCCCGCCCGCCCAGCCTGCACCTCTCCCCAAGTCTGCAGGGTCCCACAGAACCCCGCAAAAGAGAAAAATCACACCGGGGAGAGAGCGTGGCACAGGGTGGGGAGTACAGTGCTGTGTGTGCGGAAGTTGGTGTGTGGTGTGGTGTATGTGGTGTGGTGTGTAATGTGTGTCTGTGGTGTGGTGTGTGTGTGTGTGTATGATGTGGTGTATGCGTGGTGCATGTAATGCCTGGTATGTGTGGTAAGTGTATAGTATGATGTGTGTTGAATGCATGTGGTGTGTGTATGGTGGGGTGTGTATGGTATGGTGTATTGTATGTGTTGTGTGGTATGTGTGGTGTATGGTGTGTATGGTGTATGTGATGTGGGTGTAGTGTACTGTGTCTAACCATGTGATGGTGTGTGTGGTGTGTCGTGTGTGGTCTGTGGTGTGTGTATAGTGTGTTGTGTGTAGTATGGTGTCTTGTATATGTGTGGTGTGCATATGTGTTATCTGTGGTGTGGTGTGTGTGGTGTGTATAGTGTGTTGTGTGTATGGTGTATGGTAAGGTGGGTGTGTGTGATGTGTGTGTGGTATGTATGTTGTGGTGTGTGGTGTGTTGTATGTGTGCGGTATGGTGTATATGGTGTGGTGTGTGGTGTATGGGGTGTGTGATATGGTGTGTAGTGTATGTATGGTATGTTGTGTGGCATGTTTATGCTATGGTGTGTTGTATGTGTGGTGTGTGACATGTACATTGTATGGTGTGTGTGGTGTGGTGTGTGTGTGGTGCATTGTGTGTGTTGTGTGGTGTGTGGTGCATTGCATATGGTGTATGGTGTATGTGGTGTGGTGTGTTGCGTGTGGTGCATTGTATATGATGTGTAGTGTGTGTGGTATGTGTGGTGCATTGTATGTGGTGGGTGTTGTGTGGTGCATTGTATATGGTGTGTGTTGTGTGTTGTGGTGTGTTGTGTGTTGTGGTGTGCTGCATGATGTGCTGTGTTGTGTGGTGTGGTGTATGTGATGTTACGGTGTGGTGTGTGGTGCATTGTGTGTGGTGTGGGTATACATGACCCAGCATTTCCTCCCTCTCCCTCTCCTGTGGGCTCAAGGACATCTAAGTAGGGTGTCCTTCCCTCTGTCTTGGTCAGAGTTTAGGGCAGATTCCATGACAACCAGTCCTCTTTCACCATCTCTTTGTAGAAATGTTTTCTCGCTTCTGCCCGAAGCAGAGAGCACGGCAGGCCTTCCTCCTGCAGGTCTTCAGGTAGGTTTGGAGGACCAGTGCACAGAGAGGTGGCAGGAAGGAACTCCCACTGCAAGCTACTCATGGCAACAGCGGGGGCGGGGGGTCCCACCGAGGTCATTGCTACTAATGAGCCGTCGCAGAGGCCCTTCTGAGGGGCCAGCAACACTGCCATGTGAAAAGGACGTGTGTGGCATTGAATCAGGGCAATGTGGCGGCCAAGGAGCTGTGGTTGAATGGTCCAAGAATCTCCCAGAGCCTTGTAGAAAAAACTTAGGGCGCTGCATTGTAGGACACGTTTGTTTATATAAAACCAGGTCACCTTTCACATTCTTTCCTGGTTTGACTCATTCTCTTGTTACCAGTAATCTCAACACAATGCCTGCCCTGCAGACTTTAAAATCGAACAAAAGGAAAACTTCTCACAACAGAAAGTGAGGAACTCACACCTGCAGGCAGACCCTCAGGCACATGGGAGGGTAGCAGGCTTCCGCTGAAGGTGAGTGTGAGGCTGGTAAGTGAGAAATTGGTTTACTGATCAACTGAAATTCATATTGCAATTTTCTGTCCTTTTAGAAAGTCATATAATCTTCTGTGACTCTCCACTAGAAACTAATGAGCTTCTTTTGTAAAGAAAAATTTGACAATAATGTTGAATTAGAGATGAATGAGCACATGAAGAAATAAGAAGCCCCTGATAGTGTGTTAGAAAATTAAAAATTGAATAAAGTTCTTTATAATCCAAGAACAAACCAATGAGGAGAAAGGTCACTGGATCCTTTTGTAAACGTGGGCATTGCTCTCTCAGGGTGGGAGCGCTGGGCCATCACCCACACCACCCAAACCCACATTAGACCGTGTCCAGCCCTTTGCAGATACGCGTTGGAACTCTGATTCCTCGGCCCTCTGGGCAGCTGCACAAGGCCCGAGGTGGCCTGAGCCCCTGAACCAGGAGTAACTCTGCTCAGGGTTCCCGGGAGGGCCCACTGAGCTAAGCAGGACAGATGGCCACTGATGATGCATATGCTGGGCAACAGCCAGCCAAGAACATCCAGACACACAGTCCCACCCCCAACTTCAGCAGCTGGCCCCAGACCACGAGGCACCTTCAAGATCAGGGCCTGGGGCTGCTGGAAGCTTGAGGTCAAGGCAGAGGAAAGAGGAGGACAGCCCAGATGGGGGCTTCCGGAGATGGCTTTGTGGGTCTCTGGGGCCCAGCTCCAGGCAGTAGCCCAAAAGCTGTGTTTTGGAGACCGTTTGAGGCCAAAATGCCCTTTTAGACAGTCGTGAAGCAGTTGCAGGATGAGTGACTGATAATGCGGTGTGTTTTGCAATGGAGAGCTTCGATGCTATGAAAAAGTTCCTGATATGGAAATGCTCGACTGGATATAAAATCTAATTTCAACTTTACATTTGTCAATAAAAAGAAAGGAAGATGCTAGTGCAGAAAAGGCAAACAAAAAAAAAAAGAAAAGAAAGGAAGGGCTATTTAACATTTGCATCTATTTTTGCATATAAAGTTTCTTATTAATGGTAACTGTCAATAATTTGAGGCTGAGCGGGTGGCTCACAGCTGTAATTCGAGTGCTTTGGGAGGCCAAGGCAGGACGACTGTATGGGCACAGGTGTGAAGACCAGCCTGGGCAACACAGTGAGACCCTGCCTTTACAAAAAAAAATACAAATTAGCTAGGTGTGGTGGTGCATACCTGTAGTTCCAGCTACTCAAGAGGCTGAGGTGGGAGGATTGCTCGAGCCCAGGAGTTCAAGGCTGCAGTGAGCTATGATTGCTTCACTGCACTTCAGCCTGGATGACAAAGTGAGGCCCTGTTTCTAAAAATAATAATAATAATAATAATTTAAAGAGATCACCATTAAAAAGCTGTGGTTGGGAAGTCTATGGCTGTTTTAATTATAAACCTGATAGGAAAAGTTATGTGTCCAGAAGTTGCTCATGAAATGTTTTGAAGAGCGTTTGTTTGGAGGTTGTATACAGGTTTCATACTCACGGTCTCCCCTAACACTTGGCACTTTATTTTTGTTATAAGCACAGCTGCTGTAGCAGCCCAAATGCCAGGTTCATGCACCTGCTGTGAGGCTGACGCCGAACACCGAGACACAGGTGCCAGAGACGGAGAAATGCTTATTCCATTTGGCCCAAGCGAGAAGACAAGAGAGCAAGATTTCTCAAATCCACCTTGACAAAGAGGTGAAGAGAGTTTTTATGCAGCTGGTGAGTCCGGAGGGGGTTTCAGGGAATGGAGGGAAAGTCTGCGTTTCTTCCATGTCGGCTAACACCTCCAGCAGCCAGACTTCTGGCGTCAGCGCCTGGTCCCAGCACCTTCGAGGCATTTGTTCATGTGCAAACATTTTTTATGACCTGGATGTGATCTCCTCCGGCTTGACAAAGAAACAGTAGATCGGCAGTGTACAGTGATGATGTGGGAACAACAAATACTGGGCACAAAGTGCATGGTTCCCCTGTGCCAGCCAGAGCAGCGCGATCAGAACGTTCATTGTTTCAGTCGCTCACTGGAAAGTGCTGAGTGCTGAACTCCCAGGGGCCCAGTTAGCAGCCTCGGTCAGTTGACAGGAAAGGTGCTAAGGAAGGTGTCCTGAGGGGATTTCGTCATTGTGTGAACATCACAGTGTGCACCTGCACAGCCTCGCTGGCACAGCCCCCGGCACGCCCGGGCGATGAGGTACAGCCTGTGGCTTCTGTGCTGTAACGCTGAACAGCACGTCACTGCTCTGAATCCTGCAGGCAGCTGGCACACAATGGTAAGCATCTGTGTATCTAAGCACAGAAAAGGTTCAGCAAAACGCGCTATTCTAATCCAATGGGACCACTGGTGTTCGCGGCAGTGTGGTGTTGACAGAAATGTTGCTATGCAGTGCACGACTGCATGTAAGGAATATTTTTTAATATAATGAACATTTTCACCGAGGCCCCCAGAGATGCGCCCAGCCCCCTCCACTTCACCACAATGTGCTGTGGAAATCATATTTTCCAGGCATGCCCTGACATCATAAAGGCCGGGAAGCGTTACATGGAGGCCCTGTTCCCGCAGCCGGGACTGATGGGCAGAGCCAGGTAAGGGCCAGCCCTCCATGCCCACAGGGAAGCCAATTACTGCCTCAGGGGTGGGGAAAGGACGTAGAAAATGTCACCCAGGCCTTTTCTCCAAAAAGCCGCCAGGCTACTCTCTCCTGACCCCGCCCTCTCGGAGCTCACCTCTGCTGGCGTGTCCTGGGACCAGCAAGCATCTCCAAGCACTGACTCAGCCCAGCCAGAGGTCTGGCTCTGTTCCAGGAGCTGGGAACCAAGAAGGGAGCAGAGAGATAAAACCTCTGCCACACAGAGTTTATTTTCTAGATAGGAAAACAGACCAAAATAGATACGAATAACGCAAATAGAAAGCAGGCCACCGGTGTGCTGGTAAACGTGTCACAGACGCTCTAGGGGACGGCGGGCCTGACCTGCACACTTGCTGATTTCTGTGTGTGAGTCCTCCCACTCCAGCCACCTCCGGACTCCCTGTGTGAAGGCGCTGGCCACAGGGCGGGGAAGGCGCTCGCAGCTGCTCTCGTGGGCTGCTACAGCCGACTCGGGCACATCTGAAAGTTCCACATGACAAGTTACAGAAAGAAGGAAAGCAGGCTGAGTTGCAGTGTTTACGGGGAGAGATACGGGAGGCCTCACTACGAAAGTGCCATTTGAAGCTGGGCATGGTGGCTCACGCCTATAATCCCAGCACTTTGGGAGGCTGGGGCGGGCGGATCACGAGGTCAGGAGTTCGAGACCAGCCTGGCCAACATGGTGAAACCCCATCTCTACAAAAATAGAAAATTAGCCAAGTGTAGTGGCACAGCCCCATAGTCCCAACTGCTCGGGAGGCTGAGGCAGAAGAATTGCTTGTACCCGGGAGGCAGAGGTTGCAGTGACCTGAGATGGTGCCACTGCATTCCAGCCTGGGTGACAGAGCGAGATAACGTCTCTAAAAATAAAAAAAGAAAGTGCCATCTGATGGAGAGCTGCTGTGGAAAACATGATGCCTGCTCTGCCAAGAGCCACAGGACCCCGAAATCTCCCACCACTTACATCCAAAAGAAACAGAAAGCAGGGACACGCGCAGGTAGGGCCCTGCCCAGCTCACAGCAGCATTCTTCACAGCGCCCAAAAGGCCGAGACAACGCCGGATCCCGTGAATGACCACTGGATAAACGAAGTGTGGGCCCTCTGATAGCGGCAGAAGACCATTCCTAGGCAGACGGGGCGGGTCCCCAGTGAAACCTGCACCTTCAAGCCAAAGGCAGCCCGAGGCCAGAAAACCAGCCACCCCTTCCAGGTGAAGTCCACAAACTGGAGTGAGAACTTCCTTGATGCCTTTTAGCCAATCAAATGGTGATTTTTCTAGGCCCGCCCATAGACAATCAGCACCCACTCACCCACTGTGAGCCCATAAGAACCCTGGATTCAGCCACACAGTGGGACCACCGCCCTTGGTGGGGACTACTGGCCTTCAGGTAAGGGCTGCCCACTTCAGGTCCCCTCTCTGCTGGGGACCTCTCCGTTGTGCAATACAAGTTTTTTCTGCCCTGCTCACTCTCTGGTTGTCTGCGTAACCTCATTCTTCTGGATGTGGGACAAGAACTTGGCACCCGCCAAATGGTGGGTGTGAAAAGGGCTGTAACACCGTAACCCTCTGTCCTGCTCGCTGAGCAGTGGGGGAGAAGACGCCGCTGGGTGCCACACACCCCTGTTTGCTGAGGTTGCGGGCAGCAGGAATGAACTAGAGCTGTAGTGCCTTGCCAGAGCCCACACCTTAACCTCCCAGAACCAGGGCTGGAACAGGCCCCCGCTCGCCAAGCCACAGGTGGCGGGAGCAGTCGAGCAGCAACAGCCTGGGGGCTCTCCGGTTCCTGGTGTCTCTGAGTTTTTGGGTGCTGCCATGTTCCCCTCATCCAGACACTGGTGCCCAAGGCAGAAGCAGGTCGTGGCACAATTGCTGGCGGAGCGTGGGTCCTGTGGCGAGTGGGATCTGGGCCGGGGTGCAAGCCGAGCACAGCCCGCTGGGCCCAGTGTGCAGGGTACCTCCAGCAGCAGCCTGGAGCCAGGTGGAGCAGGGGTGGCGGCAGCCATGGAGGTCTCTGGCTGGTGAAGACACCAAAAAAGTCCTGTGCCACATCCATGCAATGGAGTGTTCTTCAGCCTTAAAAGGGAATTCCGACACCTGCTCCCACATGGAGGAATCTTGGGGACATCAGGGTCAGTGAAATTAACTAGGCACAAAAGGACAAATCCTGCATGATTCCATTTATATGGGGTCACTAGAGGAGTCACATTCATAGAGATGGAAAGCAGATCGGCTTCCGGGGGCTGGCGGGGGGTTGGGAGCCCATGCCCAACAGGAACAGAGTTTCCATCTGGGAGGATGAGACGCTCTGGAGCTGGACGGAGGTGCTGGTTGTGCAACCGTGTGAGTGTAGCTAATGCCGCTGAACTGTACACTTGTAAACGGTGAAGATGGGCTGGGCATGGTGGCTCGCACCTGTAATCCCAGCACTTTGGGAGGCTGAGGCAGGCAGATCACTTGAGGTCAGGAGTTTGAGACCAGCTCAGCCAATATGGCAAAACTCTATCTCTACTAAAAATAAATACACACACACACACACACACACACACACACACACACACACACAGCCAGGCATGCTAGCGCATGCCTCTAGTCCCAGCTACTCGGGAGGCTGAGATAAGAGAATCACTTGAACCCAGGAGGCAGAGGCTGCAGTGAACTGTGATCACACCACTGCACTCCAGCCTGGGCGACATAGTGAGACTTTATGTTATGTATATTTTACCATAATTTTAGAAATCAATAATGTTTACAAAGCAAGTTCCATCTGACTAAAGCCCAGGCAGTGGAACGGCACAGCGCTGAGGAACAGCAGGAAAAGCCACATGGCTGGAGCTGGGGAGTGCAGGGGAGGGGAGGGGAGAGGAA